TTATCATGCTATCACGTAATTATTAAATCAAATAATCACGTATTAATTACCTTGGGTAATAACCAGGATCCGGTTATTACAGCTTGCTCCCACATACTATGCTAACACCTACTGACATGGAGCTACAATGTCCATGATGGAGGTCAAGTTCTCGCTATTTTCAGAGGTTTGCAAAGAAATAGACCGGTGCATCGAGTTCGTCGACGCCTCAATCATCTGATGATTTGACGGAATATATTGAACAACTGAATCGAAATATTCATGAGACTATTGAACTTGTTCACAACGGGTCGATCGATCCAATGGTTGCTCAAGCGCACATAAAAAAACCTACCAGAGCAAATTCAACGCTCAAATGATGCCATGAAGATATATATTTTTAAAATTTACTTATATATTATTGGACATGATTTAAATATTCAATAGTTTCAGGTGCCTGGGCAGTCTCAACATTTTCAACAGCCCGAACAGTATCAACAATTTCAACAGCCTGAAATCAATCAAGGCTTTGAACATGAAAATAATTTCTATCAACCGAATAAAACCCCTATAGATGATGATTGTTATGAATCAAATTTTAGTTTTGAACAAAATTATGTTGATAACAATGCATCGTACATGATACCAGAGCAGACGCTACCTTTGCACGAGAAATGCATCAGACACCCGGGTCCGATGGTCAGATATTCGTATATGTCGTTACCGGATTCAACACCTACGGACAAGACCCCCAATGTGAACCATGGGGTATGCCCTATTGGAGGACGGTTGGTTCGATATAATTGTAAGTAATATTTATTCTTTTTATTTACGATAAGGTTTATTTACTAGTTATTGTTTTCTTTTTCTGAGTCAAGTGTTTTTTAACAACATGTTGATACGTGGGCACATTTGCTGATGAAAGAGAGACTTGAGGGGTTACAACGTACTATATTCTGGTCCCATGCATTATAGTTCATCTCACAACCCGGACTACAATTTCTTAATTTGATATATGGCACAAAATATACTATCCACCTTGTTTTTTAGCTGAAGAGGTAAGAAATAGTTAATATATGAAGCATTTCCAAATAAATATTGATTTATAATGATCAATTAATTTTTTTTGTAGGTCATCACCTCGATTCATGTACACTGATGTCATTGGGTTACGACGGTTCTAGATCTAGAGACGTGGGTGTTCCGCATATATAATAGCATGATCGGCCCAACTCTTTAGCTGGTTGTCTACAAACAATTGAACTTTTGAGATGTAATCTCCCAAAATACTTACATAAGATAAATTTTTGGCGTAAAAGAAGAAGATATATGTGCTTCAAGACTGGAAGCTTAGCCACGTTTATATTCCAACGTCCCTCAACAAGCACCAAAATCGGGAGATTGTGGCGCTTTTGCTTGTTGGTTTATGGCAGAAATCATGGCAACTGGTGATATAAATTATAGTCATAGTTACCCTGCTTACGACCTTAAGATTCTTAAGAGAACATCTAGGATGTATCTTGTTAATGAGTTCTACAAAAACCGTATTCGGTAATATATGAGAAAGTTGTGTATTGCGTATAAAGTTGTACTTTTCGTTACATTTATCTGTACATTTATCTAGTCACGAAACAATAAATATAACATAATTCAAAACTGTAAACACAACATGATCATAAAATACCTAATAAAAATTTGTCAGCTCGGGATTGAGTTGTCACCTTGGTATTGAGTTGTCACCTCGGTAATTTGGTATATATACCTCCCATAATCTAAGAAAAAAATACAATAATCAAACAATCAAACTCTCTCTACCAAGCATCATCGTCATCGTCATCGTTATGGCTAGAAATGCATCATCGTCAAACCCTCCGTCTTTTCAAATAATGCCTACCAGGATGAAACGATCCATTGAAACAATCGAAGCTGAAATCAAAGAGATATTTGACAAATGACGTAGTAACAAGGCATTGCAGGATCAAATCCTCCAAGGGATCAAAGAGAAGAAGAAAACAATAAAGCAACTACAAAAACATATTCAAGCTGATAATGATTGTGCCACTGAACTCGGTCAAACATTTGAAATAATACAAGACTTGCTTGATGAAAAACATTTCTGGATTGCTGAGTGTAAAACACTTTATCTAGATGAGAATTAAAGTATATGTTTAGTTTTGTTTCACGTCGTATACTTATGTTGTTGTTTTCGAGCAGGGCAATTTAGTTATAGTTGATGTTTATGTTTTGAAAGTCTACTTTACATTTAATTTATAAAAACTCGACATGCAAAATATCCAAAAAAACACATATGCAATATAGTAATTTAATTTTTAATAAAACACACAAATGAAACATAGTCACCTATTAGGTTTATTTAAATCAAATTTGTGCACAGTTGATTTTTTCATGCTACCGGATGTCCTCCTAGCTGCTCTCATAGTCTCTTCATCTGTTGGTAATGTACTTGGACAATCGCGACGATTATGTCCTTTTTGACCGCATCTTCTACATTGTTTCTCGTATTTGACCTCTCCTTGGGAAGGAATGCATTCGCGGATACCTTGTCGATTTACTCGTTTTTATCCACAAGAGGTGGTTTCACGGTCATATATTCAAGGGGATATTCCCATGCCGCAGGAGGATTAACAAGATTTAGTACCTCCAAGTATGTAGCTGGATAAATTTGCGTTGTAGTATTTTGTCGCCTAAAAATTCGTTTATGTCATTCCAGTCCTCCTACAAACTGCTATCACATGACCACATGGTAAACCAGACAGTTGCCATTGCCTACAACTTTAAGTCTACTGCTGTAGATCAACAACACCATTCCTATGGCCATCTCTTACTTCAAACACGGTGCTTGTAACATTGTGTGTTGTTCATGTTGCACTTTTGTTAATTCTTTTAATCACTTTTTTTTATGCCCAAGGGGCAAGCTCCTGTTCAAGAAGAAGAGAGTGGTAAAGAAGACATAAGTAACGCTGCAAGACAAATTAAGCAAGCTAAAGAGGATGGGTTGGTCGGAGTTTCATTAGTCAACATTATTTCTTCTACAAGCATGAATAAGAGGATGGAAAAAACCCTTATTAGGGAAGTCATTAATTTGTCCCTTTTAAGGAATATGGTGTTGGTTGAAAAAACAAATGGATCAATTTGTGTATGTGTTTTGCACGATAAAGAAGAACACAGTGAGTAAGAAATGGAAACTTGAATTTTCTGTAAAGACTTCTTCAATTCAAAAATGAAAGGAAAATGATTACAATACGTGGGAAATTATAGGAAGCTACTACTTCTTCTTCAAACCTTGGAAAGGAAATGATTAAATAGGAACAAATACATGACTAAAGAAAACTAGATAATGGGAGAAAATGTTGCCACGACTTTCTCCATGAAGCTGACTTCTTCCAGCTGATCTCTAAAAAACTAGAACTCCTCCAACATGCCAAAATACTTGGTCATGCATGAGACTTGGGTTGGTTTCAGACTAGGTTGACCTGCCTGAGTCCGGTTTACACTCCACATTCTCCCCTTTAAACCGGATTAAGCTCGATGTCCGTCACGCCGAGCATGTTTCGCATTTCAATATACTTCACTTGCGCCAATGCTTAGGTAAAGATGTCCGCTCGTTGATCCTTCTAGATGACATGTTCCACTATGATTTGCCCGCATTTAACACATTCTCGTATGAAATATAACTTGATGTTGATGTGTTTGCTTCATCCGTGAAATACAAGATTCTTCATAAGGGCAATTGCAGATTTGTTTTCAACATACAAAGTGGCTGGTAACATATTACAACCTGTTAGTTCTTTCACGAGATTTGCAAGCCATGTGGCTTGGCATGTTGCACCTGTTGCTGCAATGAACTCGGCTTCACATAAAGATAATGCAACAGTCTTCTGGTTTTTAGACTGCCATGTGATCGTGTTCCGGCCAAAGTAAAAAATCATCCCAGTCGTACTTTTGTTGTTGACTGTATCGCCACCAAGATCACTGTCCGTGAAGCCGACCAGATGTTCAAATTCTCGACCTTTTCTATAATTAAGTCCTTAATTGAGGGTACCTTTCACATACCTCAAGATGTGTTTTACAACTTGGAAGTGCAAATTCACCAATCTTTCAATGAAACAACTTGCAATTCTAACTGAAAAAGACAAGTTCGGGCGAGTACGGGTCAGGTACCTCAAGCATTCCACCATTTTCCTATATTCGGTGGCATCGACTTCTTCACATCTTTCATCTTTTGTAACTTTTTTCTTTGACTCTATGGGGGACTTGGCTGGGTTGCAATCTTATATTCCAAATTGCTCTAAAATTCTTGTTGCATAACCTGTTTGTCACAAGGTTATTCCCCACTTGGATTGTTACACTTCAATCCCAAGGTAGTAAGCAAGTAATCCCAGATCACTTATCTCAAATTCTTTCTTCATTTGTTCTTTGAATCTCATAACATCTTCATTGTTTGACCCGGTGATTATTAAGTCATCTACCGAAAATGAGTTTTCGTTTTTGAGTTTCTTGTGTAAGATGTTGAGTCTTAATCACATTTTCAGAAACGGAGACCTTCATGCTTTTATCCAAACGTACATTCCAAGCTCGAGGTGCTTTTCATAGACCATAAAGTGCCTTGAACAACTTGAGCACTTTATGACTTTGTTTCTAATCAACATATCCTTCTGGTTGGTGACGTAGACCTCTTCCTCGATATCTCCATTTAGAAAAGCATATTTGACACCGAGATGGTGGACAACCCACCCATGTTGAGCCTCCAAGGCGAGGATTAGTCTCATGGTATCAAGTCTGGCAACCAGTGCGAAAACCTCGTCAAAATCAACCCCTTGTCTTTGTATAAATCTTTCTGCGATGAGTCGATCTTTGTGTTTCACCATCTTTCCCACACCGTCTTTGTTTTTCTTATAGACCCACTTCAAACCGATTGCTTTATGACCCGGTGGCAAGTCGGTAAGTTTCCACGTCTTGTTCTTTTCGATTACATCAAACTCTAACTGCATAGCTTCCCGCTATTCTCTAAAATTCACTGTCTCTTTAAAAGTTGATGGTTGATCCACATCAATCATCATTAGCTCCTCAGGGTCAAGAGTCATATTCTTGGCGTATTTATAAACATCAGCTAATGAATGAAGTCCTTGAGGTCCAATTTCGGTTGACGAGCTGTTGGCAAATGAAGGAGATGATGAAATCGGCTCAAGGGCAATAGAATTAGAAACTGAGTCTTCATGTACAGCCTCTAAATGGGGCTGTCCAGACTTAGTAGCTTCGGTTACGGGGCTTCCAAATTGATGCAATGTTAGTTCAGGGTTATTTTGTGGTGATTTGAATGAAAATTTTGGTTGAGGTTGGACTACAATAAACATATTGGTTACTGTTTTTGGTTCCTCCGTTTCTTTGGACCAGTTTCATCCTTCTTTTTCCTCAAACACATCACAAGCAACCCGTAGTTCCCATCTTGTGGATCAAATAAACGGTTGCCTTTCGTTTCATCTTTGACACCAAAATAGACCATCTTTTTGCTTCGATCATCAAGTTTTTTAAATGGCAACCTACATTTTTAGCAAAAGCAACAGACCAAAGCTTTAGATGTCCAAGATTTGGTTTCTTACTATACCATGCTTCGTTTGGAGTAATGTCGGGAAGTGATTTGGTGGGCAACCGATTGAGAAGGTAGACTGCATGTTTGATAGCTTCTCCCCAAAACTCTCATGGTACATTTTTCCATTTAAGAAGACTCCTTGCCATCTCCATTATGGTTCGATTTTTCCGTTCGCCAACTCCGTTTTGGTGGGGTGACTAAGATGTTGTCAAGTGCCTTGCAATATCATTTTCATCACAGAACTTTTTGAAGCCTTTTGACGTGAACTCTCCCCCTCTATCCATATGGAGTGTTTTTATTTTGAAACCCGCATTCTCATATATTTTCGTCTTGAACCATTTAAATGCATCCAAGGCTTCGAATTTTGGGAGAGCATATAAACCCACGACCACCGACTAAAATCATCCACCAAAAGCAGAACATACTGCCTCCGATTTATGTGGGTGTGATTGGACCATACAAGTCCGCATGTACAAATTGGAGTGGTTTTTGAGCCCGAAAAACTGCTTGATTCGGGTAAGGCATTTGGGTTTGTTTTGCAAGGACACACTCTTCACATACTCGATTTGGGTGTTCGATTAAAGGGACACACCTGCCATATTTTCTCGACAATTCTTTTTAAAGAATGAAAGTTAACATCGTCTAGTCTTGAGTGCCAGACCCAAGCCGGTTCATCTTGTGTTGATAACAAACAAGTCAGGCCTGTTTTCAAAAGGGTTTTATACAACCGGCTTGGGGATCTTTTGACCCTCAAAAGAAGGTTGTTTTTTCTGTCGAATAAGTTCAACCATCCACGACTTCCCTCCTCTGCCATTTGTCCAAGACTAATTATATTGTTTTTCAAGTTAGGGATGAAATATACCTCATTTAGAAGTTGTTGATCACTTTTCTTGCAATCGAATAAAATTGATCCCTTCCCCATAATCGTTACCGTTAAGCCATCCCTAAACCTCACTTGGTCCGAAATCATTTCGTCTAGCTCATGGAACTTTAAACAATCTCCCATCATGTGGTTGCTCGCACCGTTGTCGAGAAACCAAACATTGGATTCAACTCGAAGTTCGCCGGACATAAGAAGATTAACTGAAATCTTCTCCTCTAGGAAGACTTTGTTGGGTTCCTCCTCACTGGTAATAGCCATCATCAAAGCGACTTCTTCATCTTCAGTTTGAGTGAGGTTTGCCTCATCACCATGCCTCTTATTTGGGCATTCTAATGCATAATGGCCAAATTTCTCATAAGTGAAACACTTGATTATGCTTTTATCCCTTTGGAGAGGTCTATATTCGTTCTGGTTTACAGTGATTTCATGATCACTTCCTCGACCATGTCCACGACCTTGGTCTCATCCCCTTGCCACGACCACGTCCACATAATCCTCTTCTTCCCCTTGGAGCATTCAAAAAGTCTTTCTCATCGGTTCGCTTGGACCATGATGACCACTCGACATGAATGAGCAATAGTGAAGGTTCTCCTTCTCGATCTCCAAAGCCCCGTAGCCTTTCTTCATGGGTCTTAAGCCTACCCATAACTTCTGCCACCGTCATGTTCTTCAAGTCTCCAAATTGTTTAATTGACGACAATATTAGCATAAATCGTTCCAGAACGGCCCATAAAAACTTCTTCACCATTTTGATTTCTTTAACCTTTTCACTTAGAGATCGAATACCGGTCACAATTGTGTTCAATCTCAAAGCGAAATCGTCCACCGATTCACCATCTTTCATCCGGATTACCTCGAAGTCACTTTTCAAGGTCTATACTTTTGGCTTCCTTTATCCGTTCAGCTACCATGTGCATTGTTCAAAGCGTCTCCCACGCTTCTTTGGCCGTGTCCTTCTCGGCTAACATCATTAGCACATCCCCCGGAACTGCTTGGTAGATTACAGCCAAGGCCATCAGGTCTTGTTGTTACTCAACATCAGTGCTTTGAGTTGCAGCCCACACTCCTTGTGCTTTCAAATTCACCCGCATTTTTAATGCCCACACAGCGTAGTTCGTTTTTGTGAGCATCGGATAATGTAAGGTAACAATGTCGTCCTTTCTGATCCTATGAAGGGTATTGTCATCAATATGAGAAGACGATGAGCTCGGGATGGTCGGTTTTGGCATCCACTTGGTCATACACGAATCTGGCTCTGATGCCACTTGTTGGTTGAAAAAGAATGAATCGAGTTGTGTATGTGTTTTGCATGATAAAGAAGAACACAATGAGTAAGAAACAGAAACTTGAATTCTCTGTGAACACTTCTTCAATTCGAAAATGAAAGGGAAAAGGATTACAGTACGTGGGAAATTAAAGAAAGCTACTACTTCTTCTTCAAACTCAGGAAAGGAAATGCTTAAATAGGAGCAAATACATGACTAAAGAAAACTAGATAATGGGAGAAAATGTTTCCACGACTTTCTCCATGAAGCCGATTTCTTCCAACTGATCTCTAAAAAACTGGAAATCCTCCAACGTGCAAAAAGACTTGTTTGTGCATGAGACTTAAGTTGGTTTCAGACCAGGTTGACCAGCCCGAGTCCGGTTAACACTTCACATATGGCTCCTTCTCAGATGCAGAGGGATGCCCAGAGGTGAAGACCAAATATCTGGGAAGTTTGTTTGTCTTGCTGGAATTTCAAGATACAAATGGGCCAAAAGATGTTCTAGAGAGCGGAACTCCACCTTGGAGCAACCGGTTCATATGAGTTTTTTCTTGGAATCCTGAGTTCCAAATGGAGGAAAGAATTGTGTTGTTAACTATTCATGGTATTCCACCCCATGTTTTTCACTCGTAGGTGTTTTTAGTAAGTGGTTAAGCATTGGAGCATAGTGATCGATGTGCAAGAAAACGACAAAGATGACTGCAACTAGTGAGTCGATTCTTTGAAAGTTAACGTAGATGGCCAGTCGGTTTGGGTTAGAGTTGCATTGCTAGGACTATGCATCTGGGAGACATGTAACCTGTTAAGGAAGAAGATTTCATTGATCGCTCTGATGATCGTGATACAGATGAGTGGAGAGTATAAGAATCGTAAAAATCGAACTATCAAGATGAAAGGGAAAAGGAAGAAGAAAGTGACCAAGATCAATAAACACACAACACTTCATCATAATTAACCAGGGAATGTCCTTCTTGAGTTAAGGCATCATGTCGACATTTAACTTATCGAATTTATAATTCAATTTCTCTTTAACTGGTTGTTACCAAATAGACTGTAAGTTTTATGTTTTCTAAGGCATTGATGATGTAGTTCTTAGCATGGAGGACCAGACCCCTATTGTTCCTGGAGGCCCATGACTAGGCTAACAAAAGGTGTCTTGTTTAAACACGTATAACTTTTACTATGGGACTCCGTTCAGACCCATAATTAATCCATCGATTCAAAACTTGAACATGTCATATAAACGCATATGTTTTTAAAATACAAGTTTGAAAAGACGACATATAAAACTGGAACAATTCTCTTCTAAAGTGCAATTCATGGGTAGACATGAGATTAGAAGTGATCAAAGGTTTAGATTGTTTCTAACGCTTCTCACAATAACTTTGCTTCTCACACGATCATTCGTCTGTCTTCAAAAACCTAAATTCGTGATAAGTGGATACAGGTGTTTGATTGCATACGTGAAAACATACCCAATCATATATAAATATAGAGGATTGGACTAGAAACCTACCTTCCCATAGACGAAATACTGAGAGGTGGAGCCAGGGCCGGTCTTAAGGTTTTTGATGCCATGTGCGAAAATAATAAAAAAAATGCCCCCAAGACTATTTTTTTATGCCAATGAATTGAAACAACGAAACATGCGGTTTTTAAAAAAGTTTAGAACTTACTCACACAACAACTCAGTAAGTTCAATCAACAGTAGAAATCAGTCATTCAAGATTTATGTCTTTGATTTCTTGAATCTAATTTCATTACCATTAATCGGCTGGAAAGAGAACACTATGCCTTGAAAATCGAAATAGTCGAATTTTGAATAACAATATAAATTAGATTGAGTTGTTGGAATGATGACGTTAACCGGTTCACGATGTGCATTCAATATTCATCACTACTAGGCATTGGGCCATTTTTTATAGTTAAAACTTAATTATCCAATTCCCAAATTATTAAACCCAAAACTAGTCATAGATGATAATTTGATGCCCCTTTAGACTTTGATGCCCTGTACGGCCGCACGGACTGCACGTGGCCAGGGCCGGCCCTGAGCTGCGGTTCTTGGACTCTCCAAAGGGCCTCTGAGTGATTGCCTTCCAAACTCATGGGAGGAGACACTACTAAAATCTTCTTTGGGTTTCATCGACAAAATCTTCTGGCAGATTTTTCCCTCAGAATTACTGGCGGATTTTTGACAGATATCCGACGGATTATAAAAAAGTTTAAAGAAATCAATTTTCGTTGACTTTCGCCATAAATCCCCCGTAAATCCAACATTAATTTAAAAAAAATTATTTCGATTAATTTTCCAATGGATTACCGGCGAAATTTATTTATTATTTTAAAAATCCATCACAAATTCGCCACAAATCCGCAACAAAACTGGTCTAGTTTTATTTTTAGCAGTTTTTTTAATTTACAGGAATTTAAGTTAGCAGCTTTTTTTATTTTTTTTTCTGAAACAACTATTTTTTTTACGGATTATCCATCGATAAATATTGTTTTTTTAAATAAATAATTAAATTATCAGTGGAATTTTCTGACGAAACATGGGTCGGTAATTTATTTAAAATAAAAAAAAAACAATTCAGTTTTTAAAAAAGAAAAAAATAATTTTAAATAAAATTACCAGTAGAAATTCCGCAAAAAATCCGTCCGAAAAGTTAATCTGAATTTTTAATCCGGCTAAATAACTCAAGAATTTTGGAAAATGTTAAAAAAAATTCCGACGGATTTCTAACGGCCAGATCCGCCAGAAAAATACAAATCCAGTAGATATGCCGTCGAAAATTGTGGTTTGCGGCGGAGGTTTTCCAGCCGGCTAATCCGTCGAAATGAGTTTTCCTACGAGAATACCCCCTTTATTTAGTAGTAAGATGGTGGAGAGGCTTCTAAACTAGCCGAGTGCTTTAAAATAGCCAAATTGATAAACTAGTAGTCTTATCCTTTCTTCTCTAATCTCTTTATATTATTGTTTGTTGTGATTATTATATCTTGATTCGAGCATTTATCGTTCGAAAATCGTCATCATATATTTTAAAACTCGTATTGCTTTACACATTTAAAAAGTTCTAAATATGTTAACATATCTGAGATATTTAACCTATTTATCCCCAAGATCCTAAATTACAATTATCACTACAAAACTGAGGACTAGTAGCGCGAGGGATTGAGTCTGTCGCTAAAAGTCGTCATTAATACTCAATTTTCTAGTAGCATATGTAACTTATATTTGGACAAAAACTTGATTACCAACAATTCCAACCGGTCCTATACAGAACCCGTCTCTAAAGACACCAATATGATAGGATATTTTTTGATTTACTCAGAGGCTGAGACTAGGAGGAGCCTGGGTTCGAAACTAGAATCTATCGTGTAACTGGACAAATCATCGTATTCCCTTACTATCTGAGCTACACGCTAAAGGCAATATGCAAATTCTGTTATATATACACTTGATCCGATATAGGGAATGTAGATAGCATCATTCATCGCATGCAGGTGTCTAATTAACCTATCTTTTTGGGTGATTTTGTGTTAGGAGTTGTTTGACAATTGCTGAATGATTTGATGCAGAATGATTAAGTGGTCAGAATGATTAAGATGCTCTCATGATATAGTGCAAAATGAAATATAATTGTTTGGTAATTATGTACAATGAAATTATGGCTCTTAATGGTTAAGGGGGATCCAGGATACAAAATCAGTCAGATGGTTTTAGGACCATTAAAAGACAGACTTTTTTTTGTCAAACAAGATTTCTCTCTTAACGATTCAGATGTTGTCTCTTAATGAAACTATTGAAAGGTAAATAAACAATACTTAGTTCTTCACCAAGTCCCGTATTAAAAGTATTTGAAGGCTAACTTCAGACTTTTGACACATACAAATATTAGAAATGCATGGTCAGATGGTTATGGCTTAAACAGCAACTATTAGTATTAGATTATTTTAAAAGGTATAAATTTAAATTCCAATTATATAATAAAAATGACATAACAAAAATCAACTTCACACATGCATATTTCCACGCATGATCTCATCATATACACACGTACTTGCATGAAGTCCGACCACGTGACTTGCCTATATTCAATAAATTAATTAATATTTTATAAAAATAGTATTTGGAAGATTAAAATATCGTTCATTTTTAATTATACCAAAAGATAAGAAATTTATAATATTTAATCTGACATTTATACCAATATATTTTGTTATTGTTTTACGATAAAATCTTACATTATAATGTATAAATAAACAACTAGTTTTAACGAATACAATCGACGTTGATATCCATCCAAAAGTCCAATATATAGAGAGATAGGGGGTTTATTTTGTAAACCATGTTATTTGTGTAAACCGTATAAACCTCATTCAAATAATTATAATGTTTTATTTTGTTCATTTTTTTGTAATTATGAAAGGTTGATTAATCATTTTTATTGTAAAGGGTGTTAATCATAGATATTATCATCTTCATTATTTTAATTTTAGAGAAATACATAAAACAATTTCATTATGAAACAATTTCATAACCATATATGAAACAATTTCATCAAAAAAAATATTA